AATCTGTCAATATAGTAAGGACAGGCATGAAGAATCCTATGAAAGTGAACTATTTGCTTTCTAATTCTTTTTTGCATAAATTTAGGGAGTACACATGCAATTTTGATACATGGATATATTACAGTAGTGATGTCTGGGCTTTTAGCGTAACCAGCACCCGAATAGTATACATTATACCCATTAAATAATTTCTCATCTCTCACCCCCATCCCACCCTTCCAAGTCTCCAATGTCTATTATTCCACACTCTATGGCCATGTGTACTCATTATTTAGCTCCCATGTGTAAGTAAGAATATGTAGTATTTGACTTAAAGTATCTGAGTTATTTCACTTATGGGCTTCCAGTTCCATCCACATTGTTACAAAGACATGATTCTCTTTTATGGCTGAGTAGTACTCCATGGTATATATATACCATATTTTCTTTATCTAACCATCTGCTGATGGACACTTAGGTTGATTCTATGTATTTGCTATCGTGCATAGTGCTGTGATAAACATATGAGTACAGCTATATATATATATATATATATTTTTTTTTTTTTTGAGACAGAGTCTCACTTTGTTGCCCAGGCTAGAGTGAGTGCCATGGCGTCAGCCCAGCTCACAGCAACCTCAAACTCCTGGGTTCAAGCGATCCTACTGCCTCAGCCTCCCGAGTAGCTGGGACTACAGGCATGCGCCACCATGCCCGGCTGATTTTTTCTGTATATATTAGTTGGCCAATTAATTTCTTTCTATTTATAGTATAGAGGGGGTCTCGCTCTTGGTCAGGTTGGTTTCGAACTCCTGAACTCAAACGATCCTCCCGCCTCGGCCTCCCAGAGAGCTAGGATTACAGGCGTGAGCCACCGCGCCCGGCCACAGCTATATATTTGATATAATGATTTCTTTTCCTTTGGGCATTCCTTTTCCTTTCTTTTCCTCTTAGTAGTGGGATTGTTGGAATGAATAGTAAATTCTATGTTTCATAAAAGTCTCCATACTGTTTTCCATAGAGGTTGTATTAATTTACATTCCCACCACCAGTGTATATATTTGCTTTCTAATTTTCAAAACACAAGATGAATTTACACTGTATAAGCAAGCCAAGAATGGTGGCGCAAGTATGTAGTCCCAGCTATTTGGGAGACGGAGGCAGGAGAATTGCTTAAGTCCAGGAGTTCGAGGGCAGCCTGGGCAACATAGTGAGACCCCTGTCTCTAAAAATATACATAGTATACAAGCACTAGTAAATAATGAAGTCTAGGTATTTAATATTTGCTTTTAAAAAGACTGGAAACAAGACATGAAGTACCACTGTACCTAGAATATACACTTGATAAAGATCAGAAATTATTTCAAGATCCCTTTAAATGAAAATAATGGCAAAATAGTTTGTGAGCACTTGTCAATATGTAATTCAAAACTGTTTTTAAAGTGCTTGAGAATAAATTTACTTGAGCAAGGTGTTTGCTGAATTTGCCTTGCTTGTAATAACATTTATTAAACACAATTCCTACAATGGCAGCATGTCATAAAATAATGAATTGCCCCTTCTGACAAAAAAAAAAAAATCAAACCAGAAGCAACCCTCACTATCCCAACTCTGGCTATCCAAATTTAAAGAACCAAACATATTTGGAAAATTTTGAGATACAACTGAAATAATCAATAACCAAACTCAGTAAGAGTTGCTACCTGAAACTCAGAAATCAAACAAATTCTGATAACAGGCCTCTTCCTAGTTACCTAAACTTACAGGCTAGACTTTCACTACTTCCACTCAGGGACCCAATAGATTCAGATGCCTAGGAATACTTGCATTTTATTTTTTCTGTTCTTTGGTATACAAGAATGAGATTTTATATTCTGATTTTTCCTTCTATGTACCACATGTTTAGTATTTTCCCATGCTATTACATAGTCCTTATAAACATCATTTTATTATTAGCTGTCTAATGCTCCCATTGAGGCTATTTCCCATAATTTACATAGATTTTTACATAATTTACATAGATTCTACACTATTTCTGAATGTTTATTTGTTCCATTCTCTCCTATAACTATGATGTCATAAAAATCTCCAAATAGGGTTTCCCCACCTAAAACAAACATTACTCTGTATTACAACTACAGGTAAGTATTTTATTTTATTTTATTTTTTATTTATTTATTTATTTATTTATTTTGAGACAGAGTCTCACTTTGTTGCCCAGGCTAGAGTGAGTGCCATGGCGTCAGCCTAGCTCCCAGCAACCTCAAACTCCTAGGCTCAAGCCATCCTCCTGCCTCAGCCTCCCGAGTAGCTGGGACTACAGGCATGTGCCACCATGCCCGGCTAATTTTTTGTATATATATTTTTAGTTGGCCAATTAATTTCTTTCCATTTATAGTAGAGACGGGGTCTTGCTCTTGCTCAGGCTGGTTTTGAACTCCTGACCTCGAGCAATCCGCCTGCCTCGGCCTCCCAGAGAGCTAGGATTACAGGCGTGAGTCACCACGCCCCCGGCCTGGGTAAGTATTTTAAAATATTTTAAATAAAATGTTCAATAACAAAATAAGCATTAAAATGAAAAACCTTTTTTACAAAAAACCTTTTTGCAACTCAGCAAAACATCCTTTGGATAATTGTATGTTCTTATTTCTTTGGGCTCAAAATACCATTTCCCAAAGTTCAAAACAAAAATAACAAAGAATGATCACATGCAATAAAACTAAGTATAAAATCCTTCTTCTAAAGATTTGTATTCTTATTTATTTTTTTTTGGAGGCAGGGTCTTGCTTTGTCACCTAGGCTGGAGTGCAGTGGCATGATCATAGCTCACTGTAGCCTCAAACTCCTGGGCTCAAGCAATCCTCCTGTCTTATCCTACCAGAGTAGCTGGGTTTACAGGTATGCACCACCATGCCTAGCTACTTAAAAAAAAAAAAAAAAAAAAAAATCTTTTTTTTTTTTTTTTTTTGAGACAGTCTCACTCTGTTGCCTGGGCTAGAGTGCCGTGGCGTCAGCCTAGCTCACAGCAACCTCAAACTCCTGGGCTCAAGCAATCCTTCTGTCTCAGCCTCCCAAGTAGCTGGGAATACAGGCATGTGCAACCATGCCCGGCTAATTTTTTCTGTATATATTTTTAGTTGACCAATTAATTTCTTTTCTATTTTTAGTAGAGACAAGGTCTCACTCTTGCTTAGGCTGGTTTTGAACTCCTGACCTTGAGCAATTCTCTCGCCTTGGCCTCCCAGAGAGCTAGGATTACAGGTATGAGTTACTGCACCGGCTTAAAATTTTTTTTTGTAGAGATAGTCTTGCTATGTTGAACAGGCTGGTCTTGAACTCCTTCCTGGCTTGAAGTGATCTTCCTGCCTTGGTCTTCCAAAGTGTTGGGATTATAGGTGTGAGCTGCCACACCTGGCCCAAAGTGAGCCCTTTTATTTGAGATTATGTTTTTGTTTTCTTTTTTTTGAGACGGGGTCTCGCTTTGTTGCCTGGGCTAGATTGCAGTGGCATCATCATAGCTCACTACAACCTAAAGCTCCTGGGCTTATGCAATCCTCCTGGTTTAGCCTACCAAGTAGCTGGAACTACAGGTACGAGTTACCATGCACAGCTAATTTTTCTATTTTTTGTAGAGACAGGGTCTCACTCTTGCTTAGACTAGTCTCAAACTCCTGGTCTCAAGCAATCTTCCCATCTTGGCCTTCCAAGTGCTAGGATTCCAGGTATGAGCCACCGCCCGGCCTAGATCATGTATTCTTTTAGTTGGTTTCAGTGGATACCAATTATTTTGCCCCAAATCCTTGTGCTAATTTCCCATAAAAGTGAGATTTAATAATTAGAAGATAACAAAAGGATGCAGTAATCTTTGATTTATGAATATATTAAAAGGAAAAAGGAATATACCATGTTTATTAAATAATTGCCTCAAACTAATATTAAACTCACATCTAGTATTATAGTATCTAAAACTACCCAAACAGAAGCTCTTCTAAAACTATTAAATGAAATTCCAAGTTTCCTTGAAGAATCTCTAAAGAGTACAGACATTTGATTTGTTGAATTTATGTCTGCTGTAATTACCAGGCATGACCCTTATAACCTTCGAGTGCTCCTGAGGTTGTGGGTCTGGGGAACCACATATATGTGTACACCCACACAATGAAATTATGTGCATCAAAACTTGGAAAACCACTCATTCCAAAGAGAGAGAGAGAACAGAAAGAGATAAATGTCTGAGAAAGTGTTTGACAGGAAAAAACACAGACTTCATCAACAAACCTTTACTATACATGGTAATCTTTGCTTGTCACTAATAAGACCAAGAGAATATCACAAACTCGAGATTGTTATAGATCTAAGCAGCTACGTGAATTTCAAGTAAAAAGGAATTTACAATATTTTTGTTCAGAATTCAGCAGACATCTAAATCACCTCAAAAGCCAATCTATCTTTAAAATATTTTTTTCCCCATTTTTACTGGAAATCCCCTTATCTTTTAATCTTTAAAATATTCTTGGAGTGGCAAATCTCATTCCGCACTTGAAGAGATGTACGAAATAAACAGAAAAAAATATATTTTTAAAGATAGCCTCATACAACTTCCCAAAGGTAGGTAGTTGACGTCATACTATAGGACAATCTATTGATACTTCTTCCCTAGAAAGCTCCTGCTACCCTGTGAGCCATCTTCAGAACTGAGTGCCCAAACTAAATAATTGATTTTTGTGGCTTCATCTAAATTAAGAAATTGATTTAAGAATTTCAAAATTAACAAGCTTCCAACTTCTTCTTTTGGGGGTAATGCGCTAATATGAAATGCTCAGGTCATCTGTAAAGGGAAACAAATATTTTTCTCAAAAGAGAGAAAAAGAAACTATGTGAAAAGACATGCTGCTGTCTGAAGATGGCCCTTCATGTACTTCTACTGTAACAAATGTACCGAGATCTCATTTTTCTTCTCACTTTTCAATTTTAGCCCCTGACTTCATTAAAATCAACGTGAAAAAATACTCTGTACTCACTCTGGCATTCTATGAATTGATGAATAAAAGTGCAGTCCCCGCCACTCTTTGAAAGCAAGTGCTCTAATAAAGAAAGAAACACCTTTTAGGATATAGTTTGGTGCTGTCTTTGAAAACCAACAGCAAAGGTAGGAAAGTTGAAATGTATTAACATGGGTAATTCTAAGTAAGACTAATAAAAGCTGAATATATTTTAATAGTAAAAGCAGACATATTTTAAAGTTAAATGACTAAAAATCATGATTATATAATCATTAATTTGTACCCTCAATGGTTAGCTTTTAAAGGTGCAGTTTTTATCCAAAGAGCTCAAGAAAACTACATAAATATATTGCTTTAAAAATTTTCTCCCATCTTTCTCCATTAAAGCTTAATACCCTTAAATAATTTTAAAATCATGTATTTGTTATTACTAAACTAATTTTCAAGTGACTGTTCTCTAACTTTAAGATGCCGATGTAGTATTTTAATTTTCACACTTTCATTTCACAAATAGTCTTCTGAGTGACTTAATCTGTATTTCACATACTATCAAAACATTGTTTATCTCTGCCCAAATGACCAAAATCAGTATTTGTACATTTCAAAGCAAGAGCTTGGTAAGTGGTTTTGCTTAGGTCAAACAAAACAAATGGATGGAGAGAATCAAAATCTAACAGGGGTTTTAATAAAATTTCAGCCCTTTTCTTACAACAATCTGTATTTACATTGATTCAAAATGTTACTTCTGAACCTGGAAAACATCCTTAACTACATATTTCAATCGTTTAAAATTACTATATAGATTTTGGAAATTTAAGTGTAAGAATACATTCCAACACAATGACTACTTGGGAGGTATAAAAGCACTAGATCCACCCAAAGAGGACACATGAGTTAGCACCACTAGCTATAAAAGCCTCCTTTCCCTTCTCTTCCATCTCAACCCACTCCACTCCTCAATCATCTCAACTTTGCATGAGAGGCAGTCATCTCCTACTCAGATTTGCACTTCAGCCTCTCTTGACATCCTTCCTGTTAGCAACCTTCTTTACCTCTATAAACAAATCTATCATTATTCTTTCTTTAGTGACATGGTGTGCAGGACCTCCAGTCTACAGTCACCATCAGTATAAGACAAAAACACGGAGGAAAAGGCTTGATATAACTCATGTTTTGAAGAGACCAATGAATTACATACTTAGAATACTATAAAGAGATAAAATATAGCCTCAAAATGAAAAAAAAAATGCTAACTGCTACAGAAATTTGAAATTAAAAAAAATTTAAAACACAGAATTTGTCAATTGGAGCCAAGAAAAGCAAAACAGGACTCCTCAATAGAACAGTAATTACGAAGATTAAAAGTTGTTTTAAGGCCAGGCTCATGCCTGTAATCCTAGCTCTCTGGGAGGCCGAGGCGGGTGGATTGCTCAAGGTCAGGAGTTCAAAACCAGCCTGAGCGAGACCCCCTCTCTACTATAAATAGAAAGAAACTAATTGGCCAACTAATATATAGAGAAAAAATTAGCTGGGCATGGTGGCGCATGCCTGTAGTCCCAGCTACTCGGGAGGCTGAGGCAGGAGGATTGCTTGAGCCCAGGAGTTTGAGGTTGCTGCCACGGCACTCACTCTAGCCTGGGCAACAAAGCGAGACTCTGTCTCAAAAAAAAAAAAAAAGTTGTTTTACATAAATCCTATCTAAGCTATGGTAACATTTTCAGAACTCAAACTAATGAGTTTCAGATATAAAAACTCATTTGGCTCACGCCTGTAATCCTAGCTCTCTGGGAGGCCGAGGCGGGCGGATTGCTCAAGGTCAGGAGTTCAAAACCAGCCTGAATAAGAGCGAGACCCCGTCTCTACTATAATAGAAAGAAATTAATTGGCCAACTGATGTATATATATAAAAATTAGCGAGCATGGTGGCGCATGCCTGTAGTCCAGCTACTCGGCGGGTGAGGAGAAGGATCGCTCGAGACCCAGGAGATTGAGATGCTGTGAGCTAGGCTGACGCCATGGCACTCACTCTAGCCTGGGCAACAAAGCGAGACTCTGTCTAAAAAAAAAAAAACTCATTTGGGGCCAGGCGCGGTGGCTCACGCCTGTAATCCTAGCACTCTGGGAGGCAGAGGTGGGTGGATTGCTCGAGGTCAGGAGTTCGAAACCAGCCTGAACAAGAGCGAGACCTGTCTCTACAAATATAGAAGAAATTAATTGGCCAACTAATATATATATATATAATTAGCCGGGCATGGTGGTGCACGCCTGTAGTCCCAGCTACTCGGGAGGCTGAGGCAGAAGGATTGCTTGAGCCCAGGAGTTTGAGGTTGCTGTGAGCGAGGCTGATGCCACGCCTCACTCTAGCCTGGGTAGCAAGCGAGACTCTGTCTCAAAAAAAAACAAAAAACAAACAAACAAACAAAAAACCTCATTTGGGACTAGGTGCCCTGGCTCACACCTATACTCCCAGCACTCGGGGAGGCTGAGATGAGAGTTCAAGGCCAGGAGTTCAAGACCGGCATGGGCAACATAGTAAGACACTGTCTCTACACACACAAAAAAAATTAGCCGGGCATGGTGGCGCATGCCTGTAGTCTCAGCTACTCAGGAGGCTGAGGGAGAAGGATCACTTGAGCCCAGGAAATTAAGGTTACAGTGAGCTATGATCATACCACAGTGCTCCAGCATGGGTGACAAAGAGATAGACATCTCTGTCTCAAGAATAAATAAATAATAAATCCCACCTCATTTGGAACCAAATTTTAACTTAACTAAAGGATTTTATTAAATTTATTTGAAACCAAATTTCAGACCAATACCAAAGCACTTCAGATGATTTTTATTAAAGCAGGATATTCTACCATCACTTACCAAGCTAAAAAAAAAATATCACCCTTTATCTACTCTGATTTTAATATCTGAGCTCTATCTATGTTAAAATATTTACGGACCGAATTTAGATAAAATCCAAGATTAATATAAAAAGATATGTATATTATATATAACCTCTATAAAAGGAATCACCTAAACATATGAGATAAAGGTCTTTCAGACAGCATATGTAAAGAATTTGGATCATGACATCTCTTTCTCTCTCTCTCTCGCCAGTCAGATTTAGCAGTAGGGGGTTGTCTAACAAATTTATGACATTTTTAATACTCTATTTCTTTTTCTTTTCTTTTTTTTTTTTGTGAGAAAGTCTCATTCTGCTGCCCTTAGTAGGGAGCCGTGGCATCAGTCTAGCTCACAGCAACCTCAAACTCCTGGGCTCAAGCAATCCTCCTGTCTCAGTCTTCCAAATAGTTAGGACTACAGATATGCGCCACCATGCCCCACTAATTTTTTCTATATATTTTTAGTTGTCCAGCTAATTTCTTTCTATTTTTAGTAGAGACTGGGGTCTCACTCTTGCTCAGGCTGGTCTCGAACTCCTGAGGTCAAATGATCCTCCCCCCGCCTTGGCCTCTCAGAGTGCTAGGGTTACAGGCATGAGCCACCGCACCTGGCTAATACTATATTTCTTAAATTCAGGCCCTTGGGAATTCACTTTGCCAAAACTAAAGAAGATGCCACTGATGATCCAAAAGAAGTTAGATATTTATTGGGGGGAAGAGGGTGTCTATGATACTAAATACGGTATAGGAATGTAATGAAAGAGAGACACAGAAACATAGAATAGAGAACCACTCTACTTAAAATGCATTTTATACATATGAGTCCCTATGGATTTTGATTTTTTAATACTTGTGTTGTCCAATGCTACATCCATGTTGTTAATGAGCCCTTTACATGTGGCTAGTTTGAACTGAGATGTGATATAATTATAAAATAAATATACAATGATTTCAAAGACTTAGAAAAAATAATGTGAAATATTTCATTAATAATTCATTAACAATAATAATTTTAATATTGATTACATGTTGAAACAACATTTTGGATACTGTGAGTTCAATAAAATATATTATTAAAATTTGTTCTACCTGTTTCTTTTTATATATATATATATATATATTTTTTTTTTTTTTTTTTCTTTTTTGATTTTTTTTGAGAACAGAGTCTCATCTTGTTGCCCAGGCTAGAGTGAGTGCCGTGCGAAACCTACAGCAACCTCAAACTCCTGGGCTCGAGTGATCCTTCTGCCTCAGCCTCTGGTAGCTGGGACACAGAGCGCCACCACCTGCCCGCTAATTTTTGATATATATATCAGTTGCCAATTATTTCTTTCTATTATAGTAGAAACGGGGTCTCCGCTCTTTGTCAGGCGTTTTGAACTCCTGACCTTGAGCACTCCGCCCGCCTCGGCCTCCCAAGAGCTAGGATTACAGTCTTTTTATATTTTTAATGTGGCAACCAGAAAATTTTAAATTATGCATGTGGCCCTCATTAAATTTTTTAGATAGCACCATTCTATAATTTAAAAGACATATTCAAGGCCAGGTGCAGTGGCTCACACCTGTAATCCTAGAATTCTGGGAGGTTGAGGCAGGTGGATCATTTGAGCTCAGGAGTTTGAGACAGCCTGAGCAAGAGCAAAACATCTTTACTAAAATAGAAAAGAATTAGCTGGACACTAAGAAATATATATATATATATCAAATAAGGCCGGGGGCCAGCTGGCTCACGCCTGTAATCCTAGCACTCTGAGAGGCCGAGGCAGGCAGATTGCTCGCAGGTCAGGAGTTCAAAACCAGCCTAGAAAGAGGAGATCCATCTCTACTATAAAAGTAAAGAAATTAATTGGCCACAACTAATTAGGAGAAAAATTAGCCGGCATGTGGCGCATGCCTGTAGTCCCAGCTACTCGGGAGGCTGAGCAGGAGGATTGCTTGAGCCCAGGAGTTTGAGGTTGCTGTGCAGCTACCTGACGCCACGGCAGACCTTCCTAGCCCGCACAGAGTGAGATTCTGTCTCAAAAAAAACATAAAATAAAATAATAATAAAAGACATTCGAATTATGAGATAAGACTCACAAAAAATTTACAGTATAAAATCTGTACTTTTAGCAGCTACATTACATTTAAATAATTTCAAAAACAGAATTCACTGGAAGAAGTATTATTAATTATAACATCTCCAGACATTTTGAAAACATTCTCTTATAACTATATTTGATTGTCTCCTCTCTACTATTTAAAAGAGTAACTTTAGTTAAAATCATATCATATTAATATTATAGCTAAGGACTTTGGTAATATTGGAATCTTTGAATATTAGTCATTATACAAGTGATTCAGAATGGAATAAGTGACCCATTGCTTATTTCCAAGTAAGTAAATCTGGTATAAAAATGTTTTTGTGTGTATCTAGAAATATACTACTTAGTGCCTTTCAAAATATTCTATTACTCTCTCACTACTCCCATTTATTACCCCCCCAAAACAAATATACCTATAAGGGAATAATAATTGTAGCAAGAAATTACCTTTAAGTACCCCAAATATCTTATTTTATCTTAAACCAAGGAGTCAACTATTCTACAATTAAAAATAGCCTACTACTATTCTCATCTAAATCAACTGGAAATGGCAAACATTTTAGGCAGTAATTTGACCACTCTAAATAGTATTAAGATGGTTCCATGTATATAAAAGGATTCTCTTAACTGAAGCAATAGAAGGTTCCCAGCTTGGGTTAACACTAACATTATTAATAAACACATACTCAAGTCAAGAGGGTGATAATAGATTTGAATAAAAAGTATGCATGCCAGAAAGAGAAAAACAAGCAAAATAACAACAAAAAATATAAAATCATTTAAAGACAATATGCCTTTAGAAGAAAAGGAGTAATTCATTTTACATAAGTTGCTAAATACATTTTATGAACAGCAACTAGTGATTTGGGTACAATGAATATAAACTACACCTTTAAAAATTCTCAAATTGAAACTGAATCAAATTGGAATTTTAAAAAGTCAATGCATTTTATAAAACAAAAATAGAACAGTAAAAAGCAATGATTAATGAAACTTTTTTCTTGATGATTTCAAAATTTATTTTATATGCAATATTAGGTCTTGACCTTTATTACCTGAGCCTATTCTGGCAGTTCTTATTTACCGTGTTTCCCTGAAAATAAGACCTACCCATAAAATAAACCGTAGCAGGATTTCTAAGCATTTGTGCAATATAAGCCCTACCCCAAAAATAAGACCCAGTGATGAGCGTGGCTATGCAGCGTATCTGCACAACTCATGCATTTCAACACGGAGCGGTAAAGAAGACGAGCAGCCCTTCTCATCTGCCCCATTGTAATAGCTACTATCCCAGAGGTGGCCAGAAAGGTACGGGCAGCCCCACCAACAAGGTCGGCTCCCCCTGTCAGGTCCCAGGCATCTTGTGTGTGCTGTAAGCTGAGGCTTTGAGGGGAAAATAACACATCCTCTGTAAATAAGCCTTCGGGTGTCTTCTTAAGGAAAAATAAATATAAGACCCTGTCTTATTTTTGGGGAAATACGGTAAAAACAAAAGCACCGAACAAAACCAAAATAGAACAAAAAAACTCACCTCCTAATTTTATCAGAATTTGCTGCCCAAGAACCATAAAGATATCCCCTGATACATGGAAAAATATTTATTTATTTTTTGAGACAGAGTCTCACTTTGTTGCCCAGGCTAGGGTGAGTGCCGTGGCATCAGGCTAGCTCACAGTAACCTCAAACTCCTGGGCTCAAGCGATCCTGCTGCCTCAGCCTCCCGAGTAGCTGGGACTACAGGCATGTACCACCATGCCCGGCTAATTTTTTCTCTATATATTAGTTGGCCAATTAATTTCTTTCTATTTATAGTAGAGACGGGGTCTCCCTCTTGCTCAGGCTGGTTTCGAACTCCTGACCTTGAGCGATCTACCCGCCTCGGCCTCCCAGAGTGCTAGGATTACAGGCGTGAGCCACCTCGCCCGGCCGTTTGAAAAATATTTAATAGGAAGTACTGGGTATCAACCTTGATATCTTCCACTAACTTCTGTATAAAACTGAGATGACAGGCACATTGATTGGTCAATACATAAAAATGTTTTATTCCTTTTGTGCTCCAAGCATCTAGTGCAGTATCTGGCACATAGTTGATGCGTAATTAATGTTGGATAGAAGGAGAGGGAAGGAGGGGAATAGGGATCTTCAAGACTGAAGGATTACAGAAGCCACTGGGTAAAAAGTATCCCATGTAGTAGTAGGAAAACCAATAGTGGCGGTCCAAGTTTTGGGAAGAGAGAACTTATGCTACCCAGAAAGAAGGGTCACAGAACCAAGAACTAATAAAAGATTTTTCTGATGACAGAAATGAATGACCCCATTCTCTCTGATCAATGAAACAGATGGATAAAGAAAGCAGTTTCTATGACATCTCTAAGAGCTCAATGGGCTATTAAATAAACTCAAACATTAAAAACAGGGGTCAATTATCACATGGAAGCAGAACTTGATAGAAAAAAGCATAGCTCACTGAAAAATATAGTGTATGGGGGGAAACAGCTATATTGTAAAAGCCATTGTTAAAGTTAAACTTTATCATTTTCTTATTATTGAATAACTAAAATTTCCATATAACAAGGGATATCTAAGAATAGATCATAGCATTCAATCTTACAAAATACAGGGAACCTTGATTTTTAAAGACAGGGTTCAAAACCAGCATGCTTTTCATTCCAAACACTTAAAACCCTAAACTCCTTATCCTGCTAAAATACTAAAAGGATATCATGAAAGAAATATTTAAGTTCTTTACACTACCTTTTTCTGTGCTCCCATTTATTTTAGGTAAGAAGTCATCAACTTGTATCCCTAGGATTAAGACAGTATATCATTGCCTGATCAAAGAAAGTATTACTTTAAAACTGGTCTCAAGTGTAACCATGGCATTTTGTATTCCTATACAGATTAAGACTGCAAAGAACACTTTACATTTATTTTTACAAGAAGGGTTCAACTTGCCATTTTCTATTAACTCAAAGAAAAGCCTGCAACTGCTTAGTGGCCTTCCAATGAGCCTTAAAAGAAAAAGGATCCTGCTGCTCATGTATTTTTCTTTTTAAGTATCTCTATGTGGAACATCTCAGATGAAGAAATTTCATTCATCTCAAGGACTAAACAATGGGGCCCACTGGTGGCAATCAAGCTTATTTTCAGAGGAAATTTTCTAAGAGTGTAGATACTTTATACCTAGTAGGTAAAATATCCCTTAAAGAAAATAAGTGCCCAACATGAGATAGTAAGCAAGGTCAAAAGTTTAATGATAAAAATTCAGCTTTAAATAAGAAATATGGATGACACCTACCTAAGCTGCTGCATTCTTTAAGAGTTTTCTCCTGAAGATGTTCTAACCGTACTGTAAACAAAAGCCCAAAAAAACAAAACAAAACAAAAAAACAACAAACAAACAGATATTTCACAGATAAAAAGAAAATAAATAAAATCAAATCAATCTTTGGATTAGCTAACTCACCTTGTAAAGCTGTTAGCCTCTCATTGGTGAAATCGTTATCAGCTTGCAAAGCTTCTATTTTTGCCTGGAGTTCCTGTTCTTTTTCTTCCATTTCATCTATTTTATGTTGTAATTCTTTTTTCTCAGCTTGTCCCTTCTGTTGGATTTCCTCTTGTTTTCCCTCTGCTACCTATTAAGAAAGAAGGAAATTCAGTCATTTAATAAAACCTGAGCTTGTTTTAGGAAGCCTAAACCAGGACTGCTTTTACTCACTTAAATTTCTAAGAAAAATGCTCAGTATTATAGAATATGTTTATTGATATGTTTTTTCTAAACCAGCAAAGAAGATAAAGACAAAGGCTTCATGTCAAAAGTGATCCGCACTGGGGTCACTCCTCCATATTTAGAGAGAAAAACTTGGAGCAAGAAAGTAGGCTTAAGGCTGGGCGCGGTGGCTCATGCCTGTAATCCTAGCTCTCTGGGAGGCCTAGGCGGGCGGATTGCTCAAGGTCAGGAGTTCGAAACTAGCCTGAACAAGAGCGAGACCCTATCTCTACTATAAATAGAAAGAAATTAACTGACCAATATATATAGAAAAAAAATTAGCCGGGCATGGTGGCACATGCCTGTAGTCCCAGCTACTCAGGAGGCTGAGGCAGCAGGATTGCTTGAGCCCAGGAGTTTGAGGTTGCTGTGAGCTAGGCTGACGCCACGGCACTCACTGTAGCCTAGGCAACAAAGCGAGACTGAGTCTCAAGAAAAAAAAAAAAAAAAGTAGGCTTAATACACATAAAGGGTCAAAGTGAAAAGCTCCATATTTTTCAAGAGGGAAGTAAGATTTTCCCCTAAAATTACTACTGTTTCAGTTTGTTCATAAGTTCTAAAATATAACTAATTCTGAAATTTTAAACAAAATTATGTTTAGCTAAAAGGATGATGGTACAAGCACTTCTCAAAAAGACCTTCTTTTAACAAGACCAATCTTTAAAACTATCATTGGTTAACCCTGTGGTCCCCAACCCCGGGGCCATGGCCTGGTGGCCTACTAGGAATCTGTTAGGAAGCCGGCTGTACATCAGCATCACCACATCAGCATCACCCCCTAAGCTCCCCCCTCCCCCCTCCAACTGTCTTCCCTGAAACTTAGGAAGGGGGCTGCACAGCAGGGAGCAGCTTCAGCTGTTTATCTGTATTTACAGCTGCTCCCCAGCCCTCCCTATCCCCCCATCCCTCATCACTGCCTGAGCTCTGCTGCTCCCGCACCCCCCACCCCACCATGGAAAAACTGTCTTCCATGAAACTGGTCCCTAGTGTCAAAAGGGTCGGGGACCACTGGGTTAACCAATCACATAAAGGGAAGGTATACTCTGGTCTTCTCTAACAAATGCATAGGCACTCAATCCATGGTTCACATTAAAAGACAGAGCTTCACAAACTCAGGTATAACATTTTATAGAACCAACTAGACATTACCCTATGGTCTGATCTATCCCCATCCTGAATGTCCTATAGCTACAGGGAATGGCAGCTTACATAGAGTTAACAGCATTCCAGGAGGCTACGTGGGATCAAGCATTATGGCTCTAAGATTCTCTCTGGGCTTGTTCCAGCACTAAATAGCTGTGCCTTTGGGGTGGCCTAAACATAAATAGTTTCAGGTTAAAAAAAATCTGAGTATCTTGGGTTTTGCTGATTCTTATCTACTTCATGTTATATATTAAAAGACGTCTATTGTGAAGCACTGACTAAATTTCCATCCAGAGGAACTATGACAGCTTTTATAAGATTTTTATTATTTAATACATATGGTAATGGAGGTTGAGCTAAATGGAATATAAGCACTTTGTTTTCACTATAATTTTTAACCATTATCAAATTTTACATCAACAACTATTCAACAACACCTAAATGCTTAAGCTATCCAGTGTATTGGGGATGATTAGGTTAACATAATTTCAAATTAAATTAAGTAAATACATACCTTTAACTTATCAGATAAATCTTTAATCTCATTAACTGCTCCATTATATTTATTGGCTAATTCTCTTAGTTCTTCCTGAGTCCGTTCATTCATTTCTTTCAGGTGGGTGCATTCATCTTCAGTATTACTCAGACTTCGCTGAAATTCAAGTTTACAGGCAATTTATTTACAATAAATGCACAATTATTATTTGGAATTCCTTCTAAATTCAATTTATAAGAAGTATAAGCCTATCAGCTATTCTAAATCAACATCTGCCCTAGACTTTATATAAAGCTGAGTTAAGCAACATAAGAATTTCAACTTACTTTGTGTATATACTAAAACAGAAAACACAACTAAGAATCTGAGAGGGTGGGGGAAAGGGGCGAGGGGAGGGGTAGGAAGAGGATGCTACTTTCATATGATTATATTTTTGAAAGGCCAAAATGTATGATTTTTAGCCTTGAAAATATGTTAAGCCCATCAATTCTTAAAAGCAAGTTTAATAATATGCAGCAGGTAATTTAATACGAAAATTAGAAGACAGTGAGCAACTTTTCTTTCCTTGTATGTCAAATTAATTACATCACTGTAGGATGGGGCCATTAGAGAAACTATGCCTGTACTAAAGGTATGTTAACTAGTTTATGATGGGAATTTTAACCAAATCCAGTAATAGATATTTCCATGGTAATTTTGCAGTGGTTCAAAGAAATGACCTGAATTATGAATTAGGTTATTTTTAAAGCAACGAAAGTCACCTTTTGATTTATTTGTTTGTTTTTGAGACAGGGTCTTGTTCCGTCACCCAGAATGTAGTACAGTGGCATGATAATACCTCACTGTAATCTCCAACTCCTGGCCTCAAGTGATCCTCCCACCACACCAAAGTGCTAGGATTATAAACCTGAACCACCAGGCCCATCCAAGAATCACATTTTGATGGTTCCTAAAAGACCTAGAAAGGACTTTGGAGATAATGTATCCTTTGTGCCTCCAAAGTATCAGGCACAGTTTTCCTCTCTAGGGGATAGATGAAGTAAGACCATGTGGTATAGGTCCTCAGTCTACAATGACCATCCTTAACTAGAAGCAAAGCAAAACCAGATGACAGGAGATCAATTCCTTGGCACCACTGTATGGTAGCTGAATCCTAAGCACAGTGCAAACAGTAAGATTCCCTGGTTAGGCTTTTATTTCCTCAGTCACTGACTAAAGAGTATAAGCACAAAACTTACATGGTTATGTTGAGAATTCCTGTCAACAAAAGCAGCCTAACTATTCCTTTCCTTCTGACAGAAAATATTTCCTTGCTATATAATAATACCCAAGTTTAAAGTGTCCTACAATGTTTGAAAGTTTTTAAAAATCATACTACTATTTAGTATTTTTAAAACTAAAATACCTCAACTTCTGAAAGTTTTCTAACCACTTCAATTTTCTCCTGAAGAACCCGCCTCAGGGACTCTTTGGCTGTTGTCTCATAGTTATGTTTATCCTCCTGTAATGCTATAAGTTCCTTCCGTAAGCTATCTTCTGTTTGATTCTAGAATAAAAGATATTTATAATTACAGCCAAGTTACTTTTAAAAAAGCATTTACTATTGGAAAAAATGACACATTATGATACTTTTAAAATTGTATATTAAGGTACCTCCAACACAAATGATGTTATTAACTAAAGCTGTATTTAAAAGTTGCATTAGTAAATTATACCTTCACAAATATATTAATTCCCACTTAAAAAAGAAAGAAAAAGTCAAAGCCAATTGAGAATTTCTCTCAAATCTACAAAATGAATTACTCTTGTATTTGTCATATTTTTCTATAAACCACCATATTTACATTGGTGGGCAAAAATAATCAGTTATCATCAAAGGCATCAAGCATTTTAAAACAATGGTTAAAACAAAAGGAATATGGGCACTATGGGGAAAAAAGAGACTCCATGTCTGGGGAAGGAAATGTACAAAATGAGCCTGGAACATCTTGTCTGGTATGACAGAAATAAGCTATTTAAGTCTGCTACAGTTCTATCAAAAAGACTCAGGAGTCAATCTGAAGAGGTTCACACAGACTAAAGATGGGATAATTTGAACATCAATAAGAAAAACAGGAGAAGCCTGTCAGAACAATGCACAAGTAAGAATTGAAGCTTTAAACAGGGTGGGAACAGTAGATGTGAGGAGGTGTGGAAGGGTGAGAAAAGCAATTGCAATAGATTTAAACACATCAAACATCTTTAAATCTAAGTGGGGGGAGGAAACACCATGGTCATTCTTTGGTGGATGAAAAGGAACCAATTCATTATTCTGAAATCCAGTAAAATAAGAGGATGACGGAAATCGCTTATCCTGCTTTTCCTGTAGAAAATGTACCTCAGGGTAATCAAATGGTTGATATGAGGAAGCTTTTATAGAAGTAATCCAGCTAAATATAGGAGGGGATGATAGAATTAAATCACCATTTTTGTAACCCTTAATGAAATAATGGATCTAGGTAAGGCTCATCAATTACTGATAAAAGCTCAAAACAAAAGATGACTGGACATTATGTTGCCTCTTTGTGGAAGAACACAATATCATCCAGAGAATTGTTAGCAATAAAAAAATTGAGCCTGAATCAGATCGAATCTTTAGCTCAAACTAGTAATTTATGGTCTAGGGGGGGCAGGGAGGGGCAGCTAAAAGTCGCTCACTCAGAGCAACTTCCAGTCCTGCAAGCTTCATTCATGGTAAGTGCCCTACACAGGCAGCATACTGACTGAGAGAAATTCTAGAAGGCAAATGACCCAGTTTCTTCAATAAATATCAACTACAATAGAAAAAAGAGAGTTGTACATGAGTGCTCATTATACAATTCTTTCTACTCACATGTATGTCTAAAATTTCCCATGACAAAAGATTTAAAAGAATTTTGAAAATATATAAAATTTTTAGCATATACTCAAACTATCAAAGAAATGAAGCTACATAAAAAACTGCATTTCATTTTACATACTTGAGATTAATACCTACTTTGGAGCATGCCTGTAATTGGTTTCCCATAACTTCTAATCGTGATAAGAGTCTATCTTCATCTATTAAAGCCTGTTGAAGACAAATTAAATATAAATAAAACCCCAGAGTAATTAAAAAACATGCATATGAAAAAGATTGCTATTGTCAACAAAAGATATAAAATCAACATTTGTTCATTAATTAGGAAATAACTTTGCCTTTGTTTGCTATAAAATTATAGTTTTCATAAAAGATATTAAACTATGTTTAAATGCTACTTGAGTGTAAAGGCAGCGGAATACCTGCCAACTGGTATCTGAAGCCTCTTGGGTGATGGCTAGTAGCCGCTGAAGTGTGGCTAATTTCTGTTCCAGCATCTGTTCCCGATGTAAGGCCTCCTAATATGATAAATCACAAAAAAGATTCTAATAAACACAGCATGATTCTTTTGAGGAGTAACTAGTTTTTAGCACATGATAAAATATTCTCATATTACATCCCACTTGGTGTATTTCACAGCATTTCAAACTTGATAATACTTTGTAAAATATACAGTAGTCCCCTTGCTTATCTTTGGTTTTGCTTTCTACAATTTCAGTTACCCTCCGTACCATACAACATTTTGAGGGAGTCCACATTCACATAAATTTTATTATAGTATATTGTTATAATTGTTCTATTTTATTATTAGTTATTCTAATATAACCAAATGTTTATAAAGTAAGGTAAGGTTAATTTATTATTGAAGAAAATTTTTTTATAAATTTAGTATAGCCTAAGTGTACAATGTTTATAAAGTCTACAGGAATGTACAGTAATGTCTGAGGCCTTCACATTCACTCACCACTCACTCGCTCACTCAGAGCAACTTCCAGTCCTGCAAGCCTCATTCATGGTAAGTGCCCTACACAGGTATTATTCTCTATCTTTTATACTGTATTTCTACTTGTTTCGATAAACAAATACTTACCATTGTGTTACGATTGCCTACAGAATTCAGTACAATAATACGCTGTACAGGTTTGTAGCCTTACACCATATAGCCTAGGGGTAGGCTATACCATCTAGGTTTGTATAAATATGTTCTATGATATTCGCAAGGACAAATGGCTGAATGATGTATTTCTCGGAATGTATTCCCATGATTAAGTGACACATGACTGTGTATATACATATGAAATACATATATCTCAGAAGAAACTCAAGCCAAAATAATCTGGTCAGCAGCAAAGATACTTTATAATGGCTTGACTGCAGAAGTATAATATCTAAAATAGAAATAGCTTTTAATTTTTCCTTCATAAAATGTTTTTTTTTTAATTTTTTAATTTTTTTCAGACAAAGTCTCACTTTGTGGCCCAGGTAGAGTGCCATGGCGTCAGCCTAGTCACAGCAACCTCAAACTCATGGGCTCAAGTGATCCTTCTGCCTCAACCTCCTAAGTGGCTGGGATTATAGGCGCGTGCCATCATGCCCAGGTAATTTTTTTGTTTCTATTTTTGGTTGACTGGCTAATTTTTTTTCTATAAAATGTTATAAACACACACACACACACACACACACACACACACACACACACAGATACACAAAAGAGAGAGAAAATGCTTCACTCCCACAGCTTATTCATTTCATTATCAGGTGTTGTTCTGATTCTCTCCCTGACTGCATACCACTTGGAAGCTATTAATATACCAAGGGTAAGTAAGCGTCCACCAAATAGTGGTTCAATGTAATTAAGGGATCAAGGAGTTATATAACTATTTGGCAACTCCAAAGGAAGGTTTTCCAAAGAAAGACACTGGCCCATAAAGTCTGATCTCTAGGTGATTTGTTAACATTTGATAGCTGCTAAGAGGGTCTCCTTCACTGAGAATCAAGGTGAAATGTTCACAGCATTTAGCTGTGGTTTTGGCACTCTTTTCTTCACCGTGTTCTATTCCTGTCATTCTCCAGAGAATACTTACTACCCTAATTCCTCTGAGTCGTCTCACTAGAGAAGCACATGCTTCAAACACAGCAGCTGAAGGTTAAAGTATGAATTCACTGTTCTCTACATCCTTGATAAATAATGATCAGGGAAAATCTGGTCTAATTAGACCTAGAGGTACTGTACTTTAATACAAATCTAAATTTAGGAATTTAATAAAAACCATACTGCCTCAGGATCCACATTAAAACACAGCTTACATTTAAAAGAGACTGTTTACCCGGTTTATCTTAAACGCCCAAAACATTCCTAATATCCAGAAAATTACACGGATGCTGCAAAAAGTTTTACTGAGAAACAAAACCACCAACCAACCACTTCTTTAGACTCTACTTCCACTAGATGGTGTAATTTCACCTTTTTAATTCAATTCCATTTGGAGTTTCTAGACTCCATGAACTATAGCCCGACAAAAATCTAATACTTTTAGGAATGATCTTTCAGTTCTAAGACATGAAATGCATCTATTCCAGTTTTTATTCAAAAAGTTCACAATTTACATCAGAACTTTAGCAATTCAGTAAAAATGTATATAGAAAAAACTGTGGTATTATAATTGAGTTAGAAAAGAACAGTAAAAGATTAGGACTACAAGGAATATTCAAAGAACTGACACAAAAGTTGGAAAGAGAGTCGGGGAGTGAGATTTGCAGATCATGATGACTAGTAACAATAGCATATAACCACAGGCAAATCATTTCACCTATATAAGCCTTTTATTTCTCATGAAAAATGAGGTCTAAACCAAATTAATCTCAAAATTTTCTTCTACCTTCAAAAATAAGAGAGATCTATGCCAATTAATGTGCCTTCCTATTGAATGGTAAACAACTACTAACATTTATGCCACTCATTCTATGTGCCAGTACTGTTCTAAGTGCTTTACATACTTCATTTATTCTTCACACTTCTGTGAGGTTAAGTGCTATTACTAGCCCCATTTCATAGATGAGGAAAATGAGGCACAAAGAGGTTAAACAACTTTCCCAGAAGATTAGATGTTAAATCCAGGGATCAAATCAAGGAAGTTCTGGCAAATGTCCATGCTCTCTTAAGTACTCTGCTGAAGTACAAATATAGAAAACTGTTTTTATATGCTTGTATTATGCCTAGTGAAAGATCTGATTAATATATTGATAATTTTTTGTCCTTCAGTACTCCATCTGTAAAAATCAGGATAAAACATGTACTTTATAGGATCTTGTAAGGATTAAATGAATTAACATAAGTAAAGGGCTATAATGGAGCTTTGCATTCAACAAGTGCTATATAATTATTTGCTATTAATATTATTAAGCAACCAAAATCTCTCTGGGTTCAATTTTATTTAAAAGTCATCTATGAATAAAGAACTATTTTGGAACCTCCTCATATTTGAAGAAAAAATTTTTCTCATACAGAGCTTATATTCTCTAGACTTAACAATCCTGACTCTTTTTTCTTCATAACATCTATTTTTAATCCTTTTCTTCTTCGAAAAGATATTTCTTTTGTACTTGTATTCAGCCAATTTTTTAATCCTATATTTCTTAAACAGGCAAAATGAAATATGAGTTAATTTTGATTTTAAAGACTAAGAATTCTCAAGATTTACTTTTACCTGTAGATACTGAGAAAGCTGGAATAGTTCCTGAGAGTACATACTTGGAGTGTTAGCAGCAACCTAGCAGCAAAATGATACAGTGTCAACAGAAAACACTTTATAAAAGACATTAAAGACAAACCAATTCCTTGAACTGTCTATTTACTTAAATATGCAAAATAATTATTTATTAAGTTAACCAGTTCCCTTGGTTCTCAAAATATTTCTGCCCTCTGTCCAGAATTTATAAATGGCATTATACTATGCTGACCAGTTTGAATTTATAATTAAGGTGGTGGAACAAGTGCTACTCATGAAAACATTACTTGATGAGCCAAATCACAAATTTATAGCAAAGGCAATGCAGCCTCTTCTTAACCCAGAAATAATGCCTCCTAAGTCAATATACCTTTAAAATTCATCGTTTAATAGGCAACAAGTCACAATTCATTTAGAAGACGCCATCTTCAAAGTATTTGTACGTGTATGGGTGGGTGAGGGACATGAAATATAACACCTTATCCAATGGCCAGAGGCAATGATAAAAGTTTTGTCCTTGTCTTTCTTTAAACTACACATAAGTTTTAAGAAAAAGATGGGAAATAATGATGTTTAAACAAGTATTAGAAGAAATACCTTTTATAAGGGGTTTTCCAAAGCTACAAAACCATGATATTATTAAAAAAAAAAAAAAAAAGAAGGGCTCATGGGGTTGCTGTAACATTTACTCACATGTTCAACACTAACAAACAAGCCCTATGGAACTGGCATCATTCCTTATTAAGTTCAGAAAGTATATTTTTATTAATATGCTGACTAGTAGGGAGTTGGCATTGTTTTAAATGTTCTAAATTGTTTTTAATGTTCTAAATCAGCAAGACCATTATTTACTTCTGAAACAATTCTTGGTATTACAGAAGTTGATGATTAACCACGTTTACCCCTAACAAACAAATTTAACCAGAGAACTGCAGTTTAAAGCAGACTTTCTTTATTCAAATGGAAGAAAAAATAATAAAATATTTTTCCCAATAGTTTAATTACTGCATTAAGAAAACTCAAAAATCCACTTCAATGTCAAATGATGCAAAAGATGTATTTTTTCTTGCTCATTAAAAATGGCCCAATAGTTTAACATAACCATTATTTCTCTACAACAACAACAAAAAAACTTTTCTAGCAAGCAATTACTGTAAGTTTCTGATCAGATCAGGTTAAAACTGATCTTCAAAGATAATAAAAGAACAATTTCTGTAAGCCCATATGTCTGTTACTTCCTTGTATGGGTAAATGTTGAGTGAAATATTTGGATAGAAAGCTTTAACAAATTTCTAGACAGAACTGTACCTCAGAATAAAAAGTAATAGCTAACATTCCTTACCTCTGGCTAAGCACAAAACTGGTATTCCTGCCTCTACACAGTCAAGAGTTCAACTGCGATGACAAAGGCTTTTACATCCACCTTAAATTCTCCAGACATTCAAGATTAGAAGATTATAATAACTATATAGCTACAGGTACTCTATATTTCTTTGTTACAGAAGAGAAGTAAATTTCTAGATAAAGCATATTAAAAACAAACATTTTCAAAGCAATATAGCTGAGTCAGTTTGGAAAAAATAATCATTAGCAACTTACTTTGTCAACAGGACTTGGTAATGGAGCATGGATGACACTGAAAAGTAAAATTTAGAATTTTTATCTAATATCCTGACAAGAGAGGAAACATAGTATGAGAGTCCAGAATATCTTAAACCACAAAGTTGATAATTTGCCTTCAAATAATTAGAAGAAGGTGAAAATTTTTTCAATCCTTTATAAATGTATAAACTTCTTAGAAAAAAACCTAATAAAATACATAACCCTACCTTTTACATACCAGTATATTTTTAAAAGCAAATTCCAAATCCAAAATGTATTAAATGTCTTTTGAGGACCCACTACTTACTGAAGGCTGTTATAAGAATTTCTACACAGAAAACCAGCATTCTTTAAATTCTCTGTTTTCAATTTTGGAATGTGTAAATTAAGGTTCCTTTAAAATTAAACATTCCTATACAGAAAGTCTTAAAAAGCAAAGGTCTACTGGAAATTAAGGCTTTAATTTGGAAACTTGTTCCAGTGAAGAACTTTAATCAAAACAGTAATACTACTCTTCTCCACTCAGCCGCCTCAGAAACTGAAAGCTTAGATGTACACATGAATGAAACTAAACTCAGTATATATCACTTTAAAACAAAACATTAAATAGACATTAATTGGTACTAATTGCTTTTTCGGCGTGATAAAACACTACTGACAGAAAGGTAGTACAGCAGTTAAGCATGGAGGCTGAGATACTATACTGACTGGGTCCAAATCTCAACTTTACTTAGCAACTGAAATGCAAATTGCTTAATCAATATAGGTCTCAAGCTTCCTCGTTCATAAAAAAAAGATCATCATAAAACCAATCCCACAGTTATTGTGAGTATTGAATGTGTTAATATAAATAAAAAGCTTCAAACAGTGCCTAAGACATAGGAAGCACTAGATCACTACTACCACTCTCGTGGGAATACAGCACTAAGGAAGCCAAAGTCCCTATTTTACAATGCCCTGTAAGATTCTGTATGTATGTTGGGGGTTAGCAAAAGGGACACAGAGCAACGCTACCACCCATGTCCCCTATCAGTTGCTTATCACTCTACATCCTAAAGGCCACTCTAGTGATGGCCAGCTTGAAGACTGACTGGGTAAAATTCCTAGATTCATCTGGTTAATCATGTGTAAGCTACTTGGAAAACTCACCAGGCATGACTTAAAAATAGGAATATTTCTGATTGCACACTAATAACTGCAAACATCCTAAGAATAGTCCTAATTCAACTAGTCACAAATACACTAAAATGCTTAATAAAATAGAATATTAAGTACCAGTTCTCATCTCACTTCTCATCACCCATGATATCCTGTGCAGACTTCACTAAGCCTATAGAACTCTTTACTATACTTTTTTGATTACATGTCTGTGTCCTTAAGAAGTATGATCGATTCATCTCTGCATCCCCAGAGCTTATCACAAGGCCCTAACAAAGCTGGTACCTAATGAAAGTTCTTTAAAAATTATATTGAAACTATAATGTAAACAAGTAAAACAAGTGGATATTTTATAATTCTTTGTTTTCTGATCTTTTCTATCTGGTGATGATGATCAGGGTGTTATTAAAAGGGTCTAGTGATACAACTTTAGTTTTTCTTTTCTACTCCATAAAACTGAAATAGACATTTTAAACATATGTTTATTGCTCTTGATTATGTAAGTAATATATATTGATTATGGAAAATATGTGAAGTAAAGCATGAGGAAAAAATACAAATTACCCAATGTCAGCACCCAAAGAGAACTATTTTGGGCATATATCCTTTTTTTTTTTGAGACAGTCTCGTTTTGTTGCCCAGGCTAGAGTGAGTGCCGTGGCATCAGCCTAGCTCACAGCAACCTCAAACTCCTGGGCTGAAGCAATCCTACTGCCTCAGTCTCCCAAGTAGCTGGGACTACAAGCACGCACCACCATGCCCGGCTAATTTTTTGTATATATATTAGTTGGCCAATTAATTTCTTTCTATTTATAGTACAGACGGGTCGTGCTCTTGCTCAGGCTGGTTTGGAACTCCTGACCTCGAGCAATCCGCTCACCTAGGCCTCCCAGAGTGCTAGGATTACAGGCGTGAGCCACTATGCCTGGCCTGGGCATATATACTTTTCTCTGAAGATAATGCACATACAAGGACATGAACTTAAGAAAGTCTAAATGGAAACAAAAGGTACCAATGGATTGTTCTTAAAAATCCAGTTTTCTTAGTGACCCCAGCACAAAATCTTCTGTTCACATGAAAATCTTATTAACAAAAAAAAGGCTAAAAATCCAGCAATTCAGGCCGGGTGCGGTGGCTCACGCCTATAATCCTAGCACTCTGGGAGGTTAAGGTGGGAGGATTGCTTGAGATCAAGAGTTTGAAACCAGCCTGAGCAAGAGCGAGACCCTATCTCTACTATAAATAGAAAGAAATTAATTGGCCAACTAATATATATAGAAAAAATTACCCGGGCATGGTGGTGCATATCTGTAGTCCCAGCTACTCAGGAGGCTGAGGCAGAAGGATTGCTTGAGCCCAGGAGTTTGACGTTGCTGTGAGCTAGGCTGACACCACAGCACTCACTGTAGCCTGGGCAACAAAGCTAGACTCTGTCTCAAAAAAAAAAAAAAAAAAAAAAATCCAGCAACTCATTCCATAAGTGACATATATTTATATTTTACAAAAACTACTTTGGATATAGGTACATTTTGTTTGAATGGAAAAACTTCATGTGCATATAAAAACCAGAACAAGGGAAGGTAGGAAATGAAAACAGTGTTCAGGCTTAGGGTGGTGGGATTATAGGCAATTTCTCTCTATATCTTCTCATCAGAAAATTATTTGTGTAATATAATAAAAATTAAGGAAGAGAAAGAATTAGCTTTTTGAGAACTACTTATTAAAGTTTTTTTTTTTTTTTTTGAGACAGGGTCTTGCTCAGTTTCCCAGGCTAGAGTACAGTGGCATCATCATAGCTCACTGTAACCTCAAACTCCTAGACTCAAGCAATCTTCCTGCCTCAGCCTCCCAAGTAGATAGGACTACACCACCATGCCTGGCTAATTTTTTTTTTCTTTCTTTTTTGAACCAACAGGATCTCACTCTTGCTCAGGCCAGTCTCTAACTCCTGGCCTCAAGCAATCCTCTGAAAGTGCTAGGTACAGGCATGAGCCATTGCACCAGGCCCTTACAAAAGATCTTAAAAGCACTCAATGCTATGTACACAGTGGACCTTAAATTCTTAGGCATTCTGGCACACTCAAAACACCTTAATTGCTTTTAAAAAATTAGATTACAATAACAAACGGCTAATATTCACTGTGTGTTTATTATTATATATGCTATGCTTGGTAAATACATAATCTTATTTAATCCTCATAAAATTCCTGCTCAACAGGTACTATGATCATCCTCATATTTCAGATGAGAAACGTGTAGCCTGATCAAGTTGCAGTACAAGTGGAGTCAGGTTTGAAACTGGACTATCCACCTCTAAAGATCATTATGATCTTCTAGCTCTAGAGAATTACCTGTTCAAAATTCATCTTCTCCAGAAAGTTATCACATTATGTACAATAAAACTGGCAGTGAAAATTTAAATAATGCTGGCCAGGCGTGGTGGCTCACGCCTGTAATCCTAGCACTCTGGGAGGCCGAGGCGGGCAGATAGCCCGAGGTTAGGAGTTCGAAATCAGCCAGAGCAAGAGTGAGAACCCATCTCTATTATAAATAGAAAGAAATTAATTGGCCAACTAATATATATATACAAAAAATTAGCCAGGCATGGTGGCTCATGCTGTAGTCCCAGCTACGCGGGAGGCTGTGGCAGCAGGATCGCTTGAGCCCAGGAGTTTGAGGTTGCTGTGAGCTAGGCTGACACCACGGCACTCACTCTAGCCTGGGCAACAAAGTGAGACCCTGTCTCAAAAAAAAAAAAAAAAAAAAAAAAATCTTAAATAATGCTAATATTTAACCACATAAGAAAAATCAAACAATGAGAACGAAATAAGGCAAAGATTAAAAGAATTAGGGAAGCAAGAGGTAGAGGGACACAATTCATTAGAATAGACTGAAAAAATTCGCATGCTTGACTAGATGGAACGTGAGAACACAGATGATACCTTATGCAACTGTTCAAAGCTTTTAACTACATGAAAGAAAAATCTTATTATCAAATATAACCATCAAAGTTATATTTTAAAGTTATATTCCTTTAAGAAGCAATACATCATTAGCTGATTAATAGTTACTCTTATTCCTAAAACCTTAATTCTTAACTCATAAAAGCTAAGTTACATTAAAGTTCCTAAAGTTTATTGCAATTTTAATAATTAAGCTATAATTTAAAATAGGAAACAGATTAATGTTTTAAATTTAAAAAGTTTTAAAATTTCTGCTTTGTTTCAGATATGCTTAAAATTTTAAAAAAACCTGGTAGCTTCTAATGGAAGCATAAAATATATGATTCTAATGAAAGCATAGACTATTACAGTAAGGGAAGGTCTTTCTCTGCTTAATCCTTCCTTCTTTTTTTCCTACTCATTTCTCTACTTTTCCTTCAATTTATTACTTCTCTAAACTTCCCACCCTCAGATCATTGTATCTGTTTCTGAAAAACAGAAAATGTTGTGGGGGATGTAGAAACAAGATTCTAGCATATTCATGGTTTTCCCCCCAAAATGAAAAAGAAGTTTAAAGATTGCTTAACTCCTTTCAATAGTTGAAGATAACCTCTGAAATGTACAAGATCAAAATGTACTTGTGTTTACGTTTTAAAATCTAGATTTTATGAGTAATTTTTCCCTTTCAAGTGTCTACCTCTAAGTGACCTTTTATATTGCTTAATACAAAAAATAAAGATGACATTGAAAAAAAAGCCTCAAAAAAACTCCCACCAAAATAAGCTACTAACTATATTGACATCCTCAAGGTCCTATAAGATTGTAACATTGCCATTAACTTCAGAGGCAATCATAGTCTTAGAAATCCTATATGCAAGTAAAAAAGAATGGATTTATCACTGACCAATAACTTAGTATGCCAAACATTGTGAAAAACAACTAATTATACACCAAAATGTAAACTATAAAGTTAAATTAGGAAACAAAATAACCTTTGTCTCTGATATATTATTATCTCCTAGAATTGCAACTAATGTGAAAAGCAATTTAAACTGAAGTATGTTCCATTCCAAAAAGTACTAACAAAATAACCTCTGCCTCTGATACATTACTATCTACTAGAATTGCAACTAATGTGAAAAGCAATTTAAACTGAAGTGTATTCTATTCCAAAAAGCACATCCATCTTCTAACATCATTAAAATAATCCTGAAGTACTGTATGAACAGTATACCATCATCTAGAATATTATTAACCAAAGTAATTAATCCAAAAACTTCACAGCACTAAATTATACTCACTCTGAGCGCAGCCGGGCTTCCATACCATCTGGTAGAAAAAGTTTTATTGTGGAAACAATACACCCATGGGTAACTGCTTAAAACAAACAAATAACATGAATAAAATAATTGTTTAAAAATATAAAACGTCCTACCTCTAGTGTCTAAACACATATATTATTCTTAAAAGTAAAAACTTCTGGAAAAGAAAATAAATCTGGTACTTTAATGACAATATTCATTACCCTGAAGAAACTTATCCTTGTCTACAATGAATCACAATTGCAAGATAGAATTACAGAAAGAAGTGTTTTAAAAGGTATCCTAACCTCCAATTCTATAACAGTCAATCAATAAAAGGTCAGTTGAATATATGGAAATACAATTGAGGGAGGAAAATGTACTTTCTCCCTATCTGCTAGCATTAAACTTAACTGTGGCTAGTTCCAAATTTAAAATATAGCTCTTATTCTTAATTCTCCTGTACCCAAACTATTATACTCCTAACCACACCACACAAAACTCAAGTTCTGCATAATACAGTTTAGAATATGCCATGCAATCCCCCCATTTGATGGGTAAGAAAACCAAGACCACAGAGAAGTGAAACTGCCTCCAAAACTCGCTATTATCAGAGTTGTTTGCTAGTACCCGAGGTTCCCATCTCAATATTTAAAATTTTTGTTTTCTTTTTTCTTTTTTAAATCAGCTGACTTAAAGATCCAATGTTTTGTTTCCTTGATGGCCGTTTCTTCCTCCAACTCCAACATATTTTTATGACATTACACTAGTCACTTTGTAAACAACTTCTTACCATTGCTTACTTTCTCCTTTTCCTATGAGGATTTCAAGAGACAAAATCCCCCAAAGCATCACTCGCACAGAGCTTCTCTGGGTTTGGGTTTTATAGGAAAAAAATTTGTTTTCTGGTATAAAGGTCAATGGATTTTTATTTCTCTATTCTTCAGATACTGTATTATGCCTTCCAGGGTTCAAAGAACTAATTTATTTAGCTTACCAAACTGATTTAAAAGCTATTTTAGGCTAACAAAATATAATATATCATGACTAGAGGAGTGGTGGTTACTAGACTACACACATTTGTCAAAATTCACTGAACTGTAGAGGTAAAATTGGTGTTGTAGGTAAATTACACCTTAATAAATAGATTTTTAAGAATAGACCTACTGGGCCAGGTGCAGTGGCTCATGCCTCTAATCCTAGCACTCTGGGAGGCAGAGGCGGGCGGATTGCTCGAGGTCAGGAGTTCAAAACCAGCCTGAAGGAGACCCCATCTCTTCCAAAAATAGAAAGAAATTAATTGGCCAACTAATATATATATAGAAAAAATTAGCCGGGCATGGTGGTGCATGCCTGTAGTCCCAGCTACTTGGGAGGCTGAGGCAGGAGGATTGCTTTGAGCCCAGGAGTTTGAGGTTGCTGTGAGCGAGGCTGACGCCACGGCACTCACTCTAGCCTGGGCAACAAAGCGACACTGTATCTCAAAAAAAAATAAAATAAAAAAATAAAAAGATATTATAAACATGAAGTAATGTGACTGTCATCTGGAAATGTGCATTAAACTTAAAGAATTTTGCATATTTATTCAATATTGATTTTCATTAACAATTTAATTGATTATATGAAAAGTGCTAACACAGATGAAGAACCATCTACTGGACAATCTTCTAAACTCTCTGCTAAGCACAGCAATCATAGCCATGAACCACTGGGTTCTTTCCTTCCTTTCTGGTCTCATCCTCTATGTATCCTATACAAAGTCAAGTTATCTGCAAACTCCAAACAGCTCACCTTTCACAACGCCATGCCTTTTACACAAGCTGTCCCTTCTGTCAGTGATGTCCTCTATCCCCTTGCCTGTACAAGCAAACTACTTATCTTCAAGGCTCAGACTGCCTAATTCCTTTACCAAAGCTCGATATCTGAGTTAAATGTCCCAGAGCCTCCTATATCTACTTCTTATGACATTAAGCGTACTGCGTTGGGAATGTTTAACATTTACACAACTGTTTTCTCACCAATTAGATTTAACTCTTTCAGGACAACAAGGATTGTTTGCTTCTCACTTTTTAAAGCTGTATACGTAGCAGTCATCTGGTACATAGTAGGCATTTAACAAATGCTTACTGAATATGTTGAAGAACATGTCTGCCTAATATTTTACAGCTTCCATTATTCAAGGGTAAAGAGATTTCTTATTTGAAGACAATAGGGTTCATCTCCATTTGCAGGAACTACCCTGCCCGCTCCTCTCCCTGGCAGAAGACAGAGAAGATGGATTTATCCCAGCTCTATGGCCCTCCCACAGATCTACTACAAACAGCCTAAAATAAATAAAAGAGCACAATACAATATGAAGATCCAACAACACCTACACTTTACCAATATATTTAAATTGGTAATAAAGTTGTTTTTTAAAAAAAGAAAAACAAGGCCGGGCGCCGTGGCTCACGCCTGTAATCCTAGCTCTTGGGAGGCCGAGGCGGGCGGATTGCTCAAGGTCAGGAGTTCAAAACCAGCCTGAGCAAGAGCGAGACCCCGTCTCTACTATAAATAGAAAGAAATCAATAGGCCAACTGATATATATATAAAAAATTAGCCGGGCATAGTGGCGCATGCCTGTAGTCCCAGCTACTCGGGAGGCTGAGGCAGAAGGATCACTCGAGCCCAGGAGTTTGAGGTTGCTGTGAGCTAGGCTGACGCCACGGCACTCACTCTAGCCTGGACAACAAAGCGAGACTCTGTCTCAAAAAAAAAAAAAAAAAGAAAAAAAAGAAAAACAGAGCAAGTCACAGAATAAAACTGTAGTGTCAGAGCTAACAACCCATGATACATTACATCAGGGACTGTGCTGCGCATACACACCGCCCTGAGGTTCAGCATATGGACTGATGCTCAGACCTATAAAGCGAATCAAGAGCTGGTACTGCTGAGCAACACAGTGCTGCTGCAATGCTGAAGGCAGTTTTTTAAAAAAAGACCATCTCTAACTAAGCTGACAATTTAGTCCAACCAACCCTGCCTTTGAAATTATTCTATGACAGCTAGAAACATAGATGCATAGAAATGTTAGTTATCCTTTTGTATTGCAACAGGCAAGTATTTAAAGCAACCTGGCGAAAATGTTTTGTTCTATTACTTATATTAATCAACTACACAAAGCAGTATTTCCCAAAACAGAGTGCTAGCAAATGTTAACAAAAAAGGACTTGAGGGTCAGATGAATTCGGGAAATATTTTGGTTAAAAGAAATTTAAAGAGTTTTGGGTTTTGTTTTGGTTTGGTTTTTAGCCATGGGCTTTCTCAGAGCCTAAATGGCTTTTGCCCATTATGAGCTCTAAAAGTAACATGCATTTCCCAAACTTATTTGATCTTTGAGCTTCCTCCCAACCTCCTTATAGGAACACTTACATAGGAACTGGCATTATGATGAAAATACTATGGAAAATACTGCTCTAAAGCAGTGTATGAAGAACTATCAAAACAAATTTTGCTCTCAAATACTACCCAGAAACATTATTGTGTTCCAACAGTCAAAGAAAATATTAATTGTAAAACACAATCTAAACAGCTTCTTGGAGAGGGTAAGGGAACCATGGGAACATTGTCACATTAAATATACACGTGTATTATAAGCCACATGCAAATTTCAGAAACATTAAAACATGAAGGTGTCTGAATTGAGGAAACAAGGTGGAAGAAAATCTGCAATTACCTGTTATAGCTATGAGTCTATTAAAAATCAGGGTGAAATGGGACTGCAAACGAGTTCAACCTCTGTGGAAAGCCATATGGAGATACCTCAAAGCAATACAAGTAGATCTACCATTTGATCCAGCAATTCCACTACTGGGCATCTACCCAAAAGATCAAAAGTCACTTTATGAAAAAGACACCTGCATGCGAATGTTTATAGCAGCACAGTTCACAATTGCAAAGCTGTGGAAACAACCCAAGTGCCCATCAATTCATAAGTGGATTAATAAAATGTGGCGTACGTATACCATGGAGTACTACTCAGCTTTAAGAAACAATGGTGATATAGCACCTCTTGTATTTTCCTGGATAGAGCTGGAACCCATGCGACTAAGTGAAGTATCTCAAGAATGGAAAAACCAGCACCACATGTACTCACCAGCAAATTGGTATTAACGGATCAACACTATAGGAGTAACATTCATTGGGTATGGGGAGGGTGGGAGGGGGGAGGGGGGGAAGGGTATATACAAACGCAATGAGTGAGATGTGCAATGTTTGGGGGATGGACATGCTTGAAGCTCTTACTCGAGGGGAGAGTGGGGCATGGGCAACATATGTAACCTTAACACTTGTACTCCCATAATACGCTAAAAAAAAAAATCAGGGTAAAGACTACACAAGCTTACAGCCATTTTTCAGTTTTTTTTCCTCTGTAATCTTAAAGACCATTTATTTTGCTTTTGAGTTAGTATATTTACTTTGTGGTATGCACTCAATCTTTCTTATTGCCTCTTCACAAAAACACCACATGTTCACTTTGATAAGTTTAAAACCTGTTTGAGGACCCGGACTGGAAGACTGAAACTTTTGAGGTATGTTGTAGTTTGGTTCTATCTCCATTTCTACAATCAGTAAAAAGGTTAATACTATTCTACACTTAAGAGTAGTTTGAAGAATCTCTTGAAATGACTGGCAGGAAATAGGAAGGACAATGAATAAAACCCTAAAAACTGGAGAAATATTTTAAAAACCAAGACCGAAATGAGAAGTATTAATATTTCTAGACCGGAGAATGATTTTTTTAAATTGCTTTTTTTTTGTAATTTATTTGCTTATTTATTTATTTTTTTTGAGACAGAGTCTCACTCTGTTGCCCCAACTAGAGTGCCGTGGCGTCAGCCTAGCTCACAGCAACCTCAAACTCCTGGGCTCAAGCGATCCTCCTGCCTCAGCCCCAGATAGCTGGACTACAGGCATGTGCCACCATGCCCAGCTAATTTTTTATTTATATTTTAGTTGGCCAATTAACTTATTTCTATTTTTAGTAGAGATGGGGTCTCCCTCTTGCTCAGCCTGGTTTCGAAGTCCTGACCTTGA